TATCTATAAATTAATTCTTCTTCTCGTTTGCACATACATAAACAAATACATAATTAAAAGTATATAAATATATATTATGATACAGTATAAATAAATTATATAAATATATAAAATAAATTATATAAATATATATATATATATATTATTTAATTATATAACAACTGTTCGCCTCAATAGAATATTAATTTCTTCTGTTTTTTCGCGTTTTGTTTAGAGCTAAAGCAGCAGCAGCCTATACATGTATATATAATATATATTATATATATTATATACATATTACATATAATATATATAACATATATATTATATACTATATATACATTATAGATATTATAGATATTATAGATATTATATATATTATATATATATATATTCTCTTTAACAGGGTATTGATTCTGTTTGTTTTTGTGTTTTGTTTAGGGCTGAAGCAGCAGCAAGCGTTTGGGTGGGGGCCCCGTTTGTTAAATTTAGCTGCATGCGGAGACACAGCAGTTAGTGAAGGAGAGCTTCAAAGATATATTTCGCCTCCTTTGCTGCTGCAGCAGAGAAAGTTTGATCTCTTATTCTTTGTTGCTGTTCTTTCTTTTGCACCCCTTGAGGCATTCTTATATAAAGAGGTTAGATTATGCTGCTGCTGCTCCTGCTGCTGCTCCTGATGCTGCTCCTCCAGCTGCTGCTGCTGCTGCTGCTGCTGCTGGTGCTGCTGGTGTTGCTGTTGCTGCTGCTGCTGCTGCTGGTGCTGTTGCAGTGGCTATTGCTGCAGCAGCTGCTGCTGCTGCTGGTGCTGCTGGTGCTGTTGCTACTCCTGGTGTCGCTGCTGCTGTTGCTGCTGTTGCTGCTGCTGCTGCTGCAGGGTCGCGTGCGTGTGGCGCGTCTCCCTTACGGCTGTGGGGTTGGTTGGAGTCGAAATAAATTTGTGCATCTAACAGACTGTCTCTCAGCAGCACAATGGGAAGGGGAACTAGATAATGCTGCTGCTGCTGCTGCTGCTGCTGCTGCTGGCGGTGGGGAGCGTGGCGTTGCTGGCAGTCCCTCAGCAGCAGAAGCAGCTGCTGCTGAAGCAGCAGCTGCTGGAGAGACAGTAGACGCTGACGTGAATTCGCCTGCAACGTGCAGGGAGCAGCAGCAGCAACAGCGGCAGCAGCAACAGCAGCACCAGCAGGAGAGTGGCGGGGTTAGTAGTTCAGGGGCAGCAACATATCTTTCTTTCTCTCAGCTGCAAGCAGCACTAGCAGCAGAAGCAAATGAAGACTGCAGCAGCAGCAGCAGCAGCAGCAGCAAAGGAGAGAGACACTTAAATGAGGTGTCTCCATTAGGTTGGAGTTGGCTGTGGCAAAAGAGCTGCGAAGCGATATTAAAGGTGCTGCTGTGTTTAAATTTGCAGCAGCAGCAGCAGCAGCAGCGGCAGCAGCAGCAGCAGCTGCAGCAGGAGAAGCAGGGTTTTTTGCTGCTGCGCTTCTCGCTGCTGCCTGATGCTAAGGGGAAGGTGTGGATAACAAATGTTAAACCCCTCTCTCTTTCTGAATGCACATCTAAAGGCCCTCTTAAAAAAGAAGCATCAAACCAAGACATATTTAAATCCCTCATCAAACTCGCAAGAGATACAGTTGCTCTCGTCGATCCTCCAGCCTACAACAGGCAAAAACTCATTCAGGTGTCTGCACACCAAATTCAAACTTCAGGTGTATACGCAGCTGTTTTTATTTTATTTCAGGTGTATAGGCAGCTGCTGTTGTTTTATTTTAGATGTATAGGCAGCTGCTGTTATTGTATTTTAGGTGTATACGCAGCTGCTGTTATTGTATTTTCGGTGTATACGCAGCTGGTGTTGTTTTATTTCAGGTGTATACGCAGCTGCTGTTATTTTATTTCATATGTATAGGCAGCTGCTGTTATTTCAGGTGTATAGGCAGCTGCTGTAATGTGATGTGTATTGGCAGCTGCTTGACGCAGCGCCGCTTGAGAGGAGAACGAGCAGCAGCAGCAGCAGAGGGCAGCACGAAAGCAGCAGCAGAAGCAGCAGGAGAGTGCAGCGCGAAAGCAGCAGCAGAGACAGCAGTATAGCAGCAGCAGCAGTAGCAGCAGAGTGCACCGCGCGAAAACAGCAACACAGTCAGAGAAGCAGCGCGACAGCAACAGCAGCAACAGCAGCAGCAGAGAGAGCAGCAAGAAAGCAGCAGCACAGCCAAAGAAGCAGCAGCAGCAACGCGTCTTTCCTGCTGCTTTTCTTCTTCTATTTGCGTCCTTGGGATGTCTTTATGCTCGTCTGTTTTATTTTGTTTTTATTTTTATTTTATCTGTTTATTTTAATATTTGTTTATTTTTATTTCTACTTTATTTGCTTTCTTGTTTGCTGCTTTTCAGCTCATCTCTGCTGAAGCACCCGCTGCCTGCGTCTCTCCTCTTTGCTGCCTCTCTACATCCGCGTGCAGCCCCAGCAGCAGCAGCAGCAGCAACAGCAGCAGCAACAACGGCAGCTGTACCTGCTGCTGCTGTTGCA